TGAGCACTAGCTTCTACAAGTCAAGTATCTTCCAAAAATTGGCCCTAAATGTAAAAGATGATTACCACAAATTGTGACTTAATGATGTCTTCAGAGTAGAAACAAAACAGAGTTTGTATGGGTGGTTCTGTATTACAATTGTTTATACCAATAATTTTTCAAGATATCTACATGGAGCCATAAAAATGAGACTTGACTTATTGCAGTGTTCAATTTTGATTAAAGACATGGTGATTGTCACAAAATAGGAGTAACCTAAAATTGAAATGACCCTTTCAATAAACTGTGACTCTTCAGATAAAGACAGTTTTGTTTGTATCACTACTTTTTTCTTTAAATCTCAGTACTTTATTGCTAGCCTATATAAAGGGACCTCTTTTGAGAAAAGCAATAGCCATAATCATTTATTGGTGATTTTTAATCCAGGAACTTTTTCAAATTTTTTTTTCTTGGTATAGAACTGACCAGAATGGAATGAAGACTTTCATTCCACAACTTCTGAGTTTTTTGACATCTGTTTTCCTTCCTGACTCTAGTAAAAATCAATTCTGCAAATATTTTTAGAAAAAAATGGAGTTATTCAGACTGTCACTTTGACTCAGTGCTTGAAAGTTCTTTATTCTTTATCTATAGCTCTTTACTTTGAACTGACACAAACAATTTCACAAAATCTTCAGATAAAATCCTTTTTAAAATAACTGTGTGATTGTAAAACCTCATATTGCTATTCTTTTTCCATCTTCCACCTCCACCCTATCCCCTCAAAAAAGTTCAAACGTACTACTGAAGAATAGAGCTGGCCAGAATTTTTGTGTGAAGTATTTCTCCAGTAAAAGGCAGAATATTGAACATGGAAATTCTGATATTGAACAGAACAATAATTATTTTTTATAATCTTACAGTATTCTGTGAGACAAATCTCTGTTTAAATCAGCTTAATGAAGATTCTACAGATTTTAAGTTGATCTCCTTCACACTAAAGGTACCCTAGGAGTCAATACGGGGGCACATCCCCTTCAGCATCTTCATTAATCACCTGGATGATGGGACAGAGTACACCCTCAGAAAGTTTTCAGGTGATACGAAACAGGGAAGAATGACTAATACACCAAAGGATTATGCTGCCATCCAGAGGGACCTCAAAAGGCTAAAGAAATGGGCTGACAGAAACCTCATGAAATTCATCAAGGAGAATTGCAAAGCCCTGCTCCTGAACAGGAATAATTCCAGGTACCAAAACAGGCTGGGGACAGCAAGGCTTGAAAGCAACTTTGAACAAAAAGCTCTGGGACTCCTGGTGTACACCAAGCTGACCGTGAGTTTGCCTTAGTGTCAAAGGCAAAGAGCCTCCTGCACTCAGACTCTTGCCAGCAGATTGAGGGAGGTGATCTTTCTACTCTCGTCAGCCCTGGTGAGATGCATCTGGAATACCAGGTCCAGACCTGAGCTCCCCAGTACATGAGAAAAATGGAGCTACTGGAAGGACACCAGTCAAGGGCCTTCAGGATGATTAAGGGATGGGATCCTCTCTCTATGAGGAAAGGTTGAAAGAACTGGCATTGTTTAGCCTGGAGAAAAGAAGGCTCAGGGGGATCATATCAACGTGTACAATCCGTGATGGAGGTGAGTAAATATTACAGAGGCACACTCTTCCCAGTGATGCCCAGAGACAGCACAGTAGGCAATGGCCACAAGCGGAAATATGGAAAGTTTTATTCAAACATAAGAAGAAACTCTCATTCATATGATGCTTGAACACTGGCACAGATTTCCCATAGAAATTGTGAAGTCTTCAGCCGTGGTGATATTCAAACACTGAGCAGACACCATTCTGAGCACCCTGCTCTAAATTTGTTCCACAAAAATGAACCATGTTGTGTGTCCAATACAAAGTCAACTGCATTACTGTGTGAATGTCCCCTAACAAAAGTAAAACCTGTAACATCAAGCCCTCTTGGTTTTCATACTGACTTTTGTCTGTTTTCCCTGCTGATCTTCACAATTGTACTCTTTGCTGGAGATTCAGTTTATGAGTGTTACCCCCTGTGAATCAAGAGCATGTGCTTTTTTCTAAGTGGCATGTTGTTGTTTCTAACTCTTCAATATCAGCAGAGAAATATTTAGAAAAGAGCCAAGAGGCAGAGAGCTAGAACCTTTTGCTCATCTCACTTGTAGGCAATCAGTTCACCCAGGAGCTGTCATCTGAAGTCAATCCACTGGCTTTACAAAATGCATGCAATCTCAGAATTGTTTCCTTAGAGGATGCTGCATCTAGCAAACAAATTGGAATTAAGCTTATTCACCTGTGGGCCATTATAACAGCGGTGGCAGCTTGGCAGGGCAAGAAACATACAGCCAATGTAATCTGCAACTAACATACTAAATCTATTTGGCATGGAAGAGAAAGGGAAAAAAAAACAAAACCAAACCCAAACAACCCAAGAGATAAGGATTACAGGCAGAAACATCTCATAGGAAAAGCTTTTCTTTTTCTGTCTCTAAGGACAAGACCCATTTTTATTTCTAGTGAGGGTTTTTATTGTGATTTTTCTTTTTTCCTCCTTCAAGTGCTCTTGTTTCTTTGCCCCTCTGTGTTCACTAAAGTGATTTCCAGTAATGGCTGAAGAGTGTGAACACTCCTTTATTTGCAGGATGTCAAGGTACATGCAGATTTCCTCTAGGCTACCTGGAGGGAAAAGGCAATGGCCTGTGCAATAAGCAGACTTCCACAGAAATACTTTAGGCCTTCATAATCCCCGTGAGGGGAAGAAAAGCTTCAGGCTTTTTCAGTCTGAAAGAGCAGAGATGTAGATAGATTCAAGCCTCAGTAGTTCTGTGTTAAATACTACATAGAAAGGGAGATGCTCTGAGAAATCCCAAGGGAAATGTAAGAAGAAGGATGAAAATCATTGGGAGAACTGCTATGAATTTATATTTGTCCTAGGTTACAAACACATGGCTAGTGATGGTGACATACTGTTATTTTCTACTGTCGCAGAAATCTTGACCAGCATCCAGCAGTTCTGTGACCAGCATAACTCTACAGGTATGCTTCCAAATCTTCCTCTTGAGATGTTAATCACTCTAATCACTCTGGTAGAAAGTTCGCAGTTATTTTGCAGTTATTTCTGGGTAACATGATTTATTTATAATGCAACACAGGCTGTGTTTCTTCTGAAATGAATCAAATAATATATTCTATCCTACATTAAATGAGAGAAAAGGAACATCACCTATGGCATGTGGTCTGCTTTGGCACATTTCTCTGGCACCTTTTTGCAAAGGAAGTACCTATATACTTATTTATATCCTATCATCCATCCAACAGAGCAGGAACATTCAATTTAATTTCACATGCCCTGGATGTCCTCAGACACGTGTTAGAAAATACAAGGTGCATAACTGCATTTTTCATCTTTTACTGGCATTTCTTTTCTCATACTGACATCAAAGGATGAACATAGCTATAGTGGGAAAGCCAGTGAGAGCACTATACTGAGAAAACTGGTGCAACATGAAAAGGAATCATGGAAAGCATGCTTTGGAGTGAAATCACTCCCCCACTGCCTGATGTATGGAACCTATAATGAGAAGGGAAAGGTTACAGGTAACATTTCTGTTTAAGAGACCCCTAATTGTTTCCATCCATTCTGATTATTAGCTTTCAAAAGTCTTTATTTTCTCTATGTCTCTTTTCACCGAAGAGGATCAAGTGAAATGTCCCATGATGCAGTTCAGTAATGCTTCCGTAAAAAAAGGATCACTTTGGAATAAGACTTTTTCATTTCCATTTCATTTCCTTTCTAATGACCTAAATGTTCTTCTTCTGAGATGCTGTAGCATGCTTTAGGATGTAGATTTCCAGACTTCTGGAATGCACAACACCCCAACTACTTTGACCTGGGCTATCCCAGAATCCCACTTGCACTTCTGCCATCTCACTGAGTTTGCTTGTTTCCTCACTGGCTTTGCCTGATAGCTTGCACTATTTCTAAAACATATCCAGTATTTGTTACATTGAATAAGCACTCTCTTTATTACAGCCATTATGCATATCATAGAATCATAGAATGGTTGGAAATGGTTGGAAGGGACCTTAAAAATCATCTACTTCCAACACCTTCCCTTGCCATGGGCAAGGATGACACCCACTACAGCTTGTTGCTCAGGGCCCCATCCAAGTCAATCTTGAATGCTTCCAGGGACAGGGCATCCACAAATTCTCTGGGTAGTCTGCTCCAGTGCCTCATCACCCTCTGAATAAAGAACTTCTACCAAACATCTAATCTAAATCTCTCTTATTTTAAAACCATTCCCCCTTGTCCGATCTTGCTTTTTTCTCCCTTATAATACACTTGTTACATGCAGGCTGTTTGGGGATTGTTATGGGAAACATTTAATTTACCATTTTTAGAATCAGTTGTGTGTTTTTCATATCATATCCAGAGCTCTCACTGGATATGCTGCTGATATACTTCTGTGGCTACCTGTCTCCGTAATATCTCTTTGTCATTCTGTAGCCTTGTGTGAAAATACTAATAATATCTGAGTGAAACCTGTAAGTTTTAACAGTATAGAAGCTTCCTCTATATTAGAATAAATATCTACTCAATTATGTTCCTCGAAAGCTCTCTACAGTTTTAAATCAAACAATATAATTTAGAAGTTGTGCCTGATAATAATAATTCAGAAAATACATATCTTCTTTTTGACTAATAGATACAAATTACCCATCATTCTAAAGATGATATTAATACTAATATTGGTATCACACCACTAAGATGAACTCCCTGTTCATAAAGAGTTATCATTGCAGACATCTGGCAAATTGGTTGTTAACTTCTAACACAATTGATATGCCTTTTTTTATTACAATATTCTGTTTCAGAAAAACAGAGCCCGTTTCCCAGTGATGAACCATTTTAATGATTTTGTGTAGAAATGCAGTTAATGAAAAATAATGACAAGGGTCTTCTGAAATCAGTTTTTTATTCTCTGTTCCAGCAGTACTCATTACAATATCACAAAATTATGTCTTATGAAGATGATGCACAGGTACACTTCACTCTCTGAGGCTGCCTACCATAAACAGGAAAAAATTGCACAAGTATCAGGAGAATGTCCTACATTGCTTGGATTGTCCAGCAAATAGAAGCATTAAAATAATTTATTCTTTCTATTACATTATGTGAGATATTGCTCTTTCCCAGTTGCTGTTTTCTCTTGCTATGAGCATCCAAATGAGGAAATGAGAGCCTTAAGTTAACTTAAATTTTAAAATCAGACTTATACTACTTCTAGGCTTAAGCACATGCATAAAACACTAGAAGCACAACTGAAACCTCTTATTATCACTGTCACTCTGTTATATTTTTTCTTGAGCACAAGCATATTGCAATTATCACAAAATACAGTGGAATATAGTAATATATAAATGTTCATGCTTGATCAGCTCAGTGGGCCGTTCAGCTCAGTATCCTGTCTTTATTAGCAGTTAATGACAGATGTTTCCAGAGGAAGTATAAGGACTCTATTATCCCGTGAACTGCTCTCTAGCCACCTATTTTTCCATAAGTTTTTTCAGTTAAGAGGTTTGATTATATGCTGAAGTATGAATGTTTATATCTCTTTTCTATCATACTATATCTGCCACAACATGGAGAATTATTTGACATTCATAGAGGGTAGAGATCCCAACAACTTGGCTTCTCTTTAGGTGTGAGTAAGATCCAGATTTGATTTCTGCTGCCAAGCTCTGCTATATTATGATATTATTATTATAATAATGATTATTGTTTTAATTTTTTAAATTTATTATTATTAATTTGGACTAAAACAACTGATGGTAAGGCACAAGATGCTGGAAACCGCTTTATGGCAGTGTACAGCAGTCTGACACTTCCCAGCTACAGGTTAGATTACTTAAGCTTTTTTTAATATACTTAATGTGTTGATAGACTTTAAACATACAGTTAATTTTCAGTAACTACACTGATAATCTCAGAGACCCTCACATCAATCAGTTAATGTATGGAAATGCTCTAATTCTAGTATTCAGACAAAGGCACTGACTCCTATTTGCTCCACCTCTACCATGTTTTTTTTCCAGCAGGTACGTAATCATTAGCTTTTTTATTTATTTCAGCCATTTTAACTGATTCCAAGATATGGTTTAGTGATCTGTTCTCTTTTGGATGGGATCTACATGGTTTCAAAACAGAGACACATTTGCCACTTTCCAGTCTCAGAAGATGGTAGCTGATTTTAATGAGCTAATGATTTTAATGATTTTTAAACATTTTCCTTATTAGATGTGTATTTAATCTGGTTTGGGTTTTTTTCCAGAACTCTGCAAAGCACTCAGTCTTGGGAACTTACAGCTTAATTTATCATTTTGTTCCACAATGTCTCACTAAGAGCTTGCAAGACTCTAAACACAGACAGGAGGAAAAAACCAAACACCCTGCATGATGATAAAGTCCAGCACTTTGCTGAATGGGCTTGTAAACACAATAAAATCTGAAGCAAAGTACTTCTGGAAAGTGCACAATTTGTCCATGCTCTAGGAAGCACACATTACAGTCCCAGAGCAGTGTAAATGGCACTGTTCTGCACTGAAACCGTGTAAGAATCTCACAGGAATCTGGTGATGTGGTGGGAGAGTTGTGAACTGAAAAGAAGAAAAATCTGGTGAGAAATAGAGAGAAATCACAGTAAAGTCTCTCTTACAACACACTATAGATGAACTCCCAAATTTGGGGGGCTTGGAAGCGATTAAATTTTGGATAGAAATGTTCAGATTGCAAATGTAATTTCTTAGCACACACACACAGTTTAACTGTATATGCAATTTTATTCAGTACATGGCCTTTAAGCAAAATTATTCCTGCTGGAAAAGTAAGTGTAGGTTGCTTATTTTCATGTTGGTATTTGACAAATCCTCATCCATGTTACTATGTTAATAGTAACTTAAGTGTTATTTTACTATATCATCAGTAACAAGAAGTCTGTGTTGAAAAACATTAATAAGCCAATTCATTTTCTTTACTTCGACAAATAAATTGACAATTCTGTTTTTAATAATGCAGCAATTAAAGTGTAGTTCATACAGGGCAACATCAGCATAAAGACAGTTTTCTACTCTTGCTGCGACATAACATAGGACTAACAAAATTAAAATGTGTGAAAATGTCATCCATTATTCTTTTAATACCATCACCCTATCCCTCTGACTAGCAAGTCCACTAATGCTAGATCTTAAATTACACATAAGCTGAAGCAAATACCCTGAAATCTAACCCAGAACAGCTATATGCAATAAATTCTATTAAGCTCTATCATGTTTCTCTGAGAATAAATATTACCACACCATGAATCTTTTACTAAACAGACATTTCAAAATTGCCAAAAAGGAGTCAACATTCTTAATCAGTCAGGGCCACATTAGGAATTGTGATACAGTTCATTACTCATGAGATGTTACACAGCATTAGAGACTTCCATAGGCTTAATTTGACATTAAGCCATCAAACTGTGTAAAATAAATTATAAGAAAAGTAACTTCAAATACATTTACCTTACAAACAGATCTGAATTTTGCACACATATTTTCTTCCTGAGACTGTAAAGGTAGAATATGATGACAAATGTATGTTTTAATATATTTTTTTAAATCATCATTAAACCCTATTTTTTCTTAGTGTGAGGAAAAGAAACATTTTTGTATAGCAGTTATAGTTACCGAAAAATGCCAGCACTCTTCAGTATTTTTTTCTATGCTGAGCTTATACTAATAAGCTCAAATTGAAGAATTTTGTCTTTTCTGTTGTCCGTATATTACTGATAAGAATTTAGAATATTTCAGTCTTTCTATAAATGTATTTTAGCCTTTGAATTACTTGCAAGCTGTGTTTGTATTTGAAGCATTTTGCTCACTGAAGCCTACATTCAATGTTTTTTTTCTATAAACTTTTGAAGTACTATCTTCTGAGTATGTTCAAAACCACATTAGAGGAAGTTTTTCAGCTCAAAATGTCTCACTTTTTTTCCCCTCAGTTTCAAAAAAGGACCATCATGGCTGTTATCTTCAGTACTCACTGAAAGACCAAAAGATACACATAGGACATAGAGACACAGTCATGCCAAAAATACACTGTGAGACAACTCTTTGTCATCTCTGAGGAGATGTACGAAGGAGAACAAATGAAGACTGAGCCTTCCGTAACTCTGCTGGCTGGACACAGATATCGTCTCTGTGTATTCAGGTGAGTAAATGGTACTGCTGATCTTGAGAGGAAGGGACCCAATGCAATCCACTGTTCTTAAGAGCTGAAAACAGATCATTATAGTTTAGGACATGTACGTAACATACCCATAAATTCTTATAAAGTCTTTAATCACACAGTGTTTATTCCTGGCGATTATAACTCCTTCTCTTTTGTTTCATGCCCTCTTTCTGCAAAACTTCATAAAACTGTTCTGAATGTTAAATTTTGTCAGTAGCCTCAGTCACCTCAGTGGCTCTCTGACCCAAGAAGGGAAAGACATTTTTGATCTTCAAGGGCCAGAGGCATTAAGCTTGCACAGTCTGAGGCAGCAGCTCCATTTATGCTTCAATCTGAGCATTGTTGTAACTGACCAAAATAAGTAACACATTAATAGAGTAGGACATCATTAAAAATTTAATTGGTCATATTAAGTGTTAAGAGTCCTGAATTTCAGATGCTGAAGATCAAAAATCCTCAGAATAGTCCTTCCTGTTGAGCTTAAGTCATGGGACTGATTGTGTCCTTTGTAATGTATAGAAGGAGTAGGGAAGGGGCCATTTGGGGGATCATCATGGCACAGGCCTGCCTGCCACAAGGTCTCAGTCTGTTTGGTTCTCTTGAAATCTACTGAAGATCTCCCTTGGCTTCCAGCAGTCTGAGATTTCATCTCCTGAATTAATGGGAATAGCATGAAAACTAAGTGCCCTGCCAGAATCACCCTACTCCTATCTGCACATCTGACTCGCTGTAGTCTGGAAATGAATTAAAGGAGACAATTTTTTCAGATAGAGTCTTTGAGAGTTGAGGTGAAATTGTTTGCACATGATTTCTAATTTCTCTTTTGGTGTCATTTGAAGGATAACAGACTCCTGAAGTCTTCCTATATTTATTATTTTCTCCTTTTCCTCCTCTACAAGGGAGTAGTCTTTTGGAATAATGAGGTCCTGCTTAGGCAAGACAATTTTTATTGCTATGCCAATGGATATACAGTATCTAAAGGAAAAGAAACCCCCCCCCTCACCTTCTACCAGCATTAGTTTTGATTAAGCTTCTCTGCATGTCTGTCTCTTGGAAGAGGAATGCACAGTCCACTGAAGGAATGAGGGGATCTGCCTGCTTTTGGGGCAACAGTTTGCTAGCCTACCATACATTTTCTATTAACTCATCAGACAGCTGATGGACAACAGGATTAGGTGTGCAAATGGTCTAAAGAAAGGATATTGAAGCCCAGTGTCCGGACAGGTGCCGACTTCCATGCTTAGAAGGAACAATCAACCCTCTGAATGCAAGATTTTGCAGAATAAATGTTTATCTTCTGCAGAAAGATATCTGGTTACCCCATGAAAATAAGTGTCAACAACACTGCATCAATCTGGGTCATACAAACCAGAGTATATTTTATACAGACGATGCAGAATATAGACTTATACTTCAATAATCATTAGTAGGACTGCAGCTGAAATCTTATGTCCAGTTTTGGGAACCACTCTTCTGGATAGATATGCATAAATTTTAGAGGATGTCAGGGCAGATCAAGGAGAATGAGTGGTGGTTTAAAAATCCAAATTCTAAGGAAATTCTGAAAAAATTTTTTTATTTATTCTTCAAGAGAAAAGTGAGGGGCTGTAGAATGACATTCAACAAATTTGTGAGAAGCTTTGGACACTAAGGAGTAATCTGGTCACCATATCAGTGAGAAAAGGAGAAGAAGTAATTGGCAACAAGAGAGATTTAGATTACTTTTTAGAATTATGTCCTGCTCAGAAGATTGATTCACCAAGGAACCAATTCTTTGAACTTTCCATTGCTGACAGTTTTTGAATGCTCATATTAGATATCTGTCCAGCATGACACAACAAGTACAGGTAACTTGGAAAAACCTCTCATGTTCCATTCTAAGCATTAACTTGTTTCACCTTTTTCTTTGTATTTTATTGCAATTCTGTAAACCTTGAATGCATATTGCTAATGAAAAAGACACATGCTGACACAAAACAGATTTTTAGTATTTGTACTTCGTGAAGCAAAATGCTCAGGTGCTAACCAGACCTAAGTTTGAGAAAACTTAAGGCAAATCAAAATCAAGTAGTGACAACAGTACAGCTGACAGATTGGAAAATAAAGATGAGCATCAATTCTGTTTGAGTCAGATGCATATTGACTCAATTATGTCCCTATTACTATCCTTGAATAAATTATTAGTGAAAAAAAGAGACAGAGTCAATAATAGGGTTTAGTGTGGGAAGGTGCAGTGCAACAGTAATTAGGATGTGTTATGTCTACAGTAAGATATCCAAAATGTAATTACTTACAAAGTATTTCATTCTAAACCACATTTACAATACCATTCTCTCTTGGCAAACAAAATTGTTTTAAACAAGAAATGGGGAGACAATGTCATCTTTACATCACATAAAAAAAAAAAATCTAGAAAACTTACTCATTTACCTGCTTTTTAAACAGAACCTTGAAAGGGAACTCCTTTCATCTTTAAAGCCTATTTTTGGATGCAAACTAAAATTATCTAATTATAATAACAAATATATGAAGATAAGTATTACTAATGAATATGATGGTTTGCAAGTTGGGAGATAGTTTGCATTCTTAGCTGTGGCACAAATGCTTTATTACAAAATGCCAGATATTTTATATAGCTCTTGCAAATACATCTGTCACAAATGTAAAATGTCACAAGCCACTTACTACATTTAATTTTAGCTTGCAAAGTGGAGTTTGAAACACTAGATTTGAAGTCTTTGAGCATTAAGGGAAAGAACAGTCTCTCAGTTTGAAACACCATTGTCAGTTCCCTCAACAAAAACATGAATTTAAAGTTTGAAAAAGTTTGGAAGCAGCTAAAGATTTGAACTTCACAGCTGAGACTTGTCAAATATTGACAGCCAGTGCATAAAAGGTATACGTTATTATGCAGTAGATAGAATATATTCCCATTGACCATATACTATGGAACTTATTTGAAAGTAAGTCACATATGCAACAATAGTGAAAAAAAATATTATATCAGATATTTTTAAAGGTTTTAGTGTGGAATTTTTTTCTTTATACTTTTTAATGCAAAGAATTCCACAGATCTCAAGTTTAAAACTCATTGTCATTGAACACATTATTAATAGGATGACAACCTTTCATTTTCATAGCAATTATAGTGAATTGCATATAATTTGCATAATTATTGTATAATAATGCACATTAGAATAATGTCAAAAAGCATAAATACGTATACTTCTTTGTTTTAGCAATGATAGATACCTTGAAGCATTAGGCATTGATACATATCCATTTTTACTTACTACTTGATTGGACATACTAAGGTAAGAGGTCTACAAAGGAAAGGACAGTGGTAGAGATATTCAAATGTAGCCAGTGTTAACTTGGGACTGCTTCCAATGTTTGTATTCAAAATATTAATCCTGGAAGAGAACATTCCTTCAGGAGATATTTTAACTTTTTATCGTGGTAAAAAATGTCTCAACTGTGCCCATTGCTTCTTTTTATCTTATAATATATTTAGGCTGTTAATGGACTACAGTGCAATAAAAATACTATTAAACAGAGTCTGGCCAGCAGCTGGGAAGTAGAACTATTGTTTACACTGTTCTTGTACTGCAAAAGACAGAAGCAAGGAGCTTGAGCTTGAGCACAGAAAAGCTGCCCCAGCAAGTGTGGGTAGTATCTGTGGAGCCTTCTGGCATCAGGAGCAAACACCAACCATGGCAAAGGAGAGGAGAGGAGACTTTTCTTGTTTAGTGTAGCACCTAACAGATCTCATTTTTCTCTGTTCACAGCATTATTTTTTCTGCATTATTAATTGTATTCTAGCAAAACAGAGTGCTATCACCATTTTGGTGGCTTTTGGCAAGTCACATCAACAAAATAGGCATGGTTCCAGCCCAGGGCTCTGTGTCAACAGCTGTTTCGGTTGCAGCTTGGTTTTTCTGGGGCCCCAACTTGCCTCAGAAAAACCTGATGCCCTCTCCTGTGCTCAGAAGGAATAGTGTCTGTCCTAAACATTAAAAGTCATGAGATGGGTCTGAAGTGGAAAAATACATCTCCTTCTCTCTCTCAGTAGTCAGTAGTCCCATGGGGTGTACTTGTACATCTTCAGGTTTTTCCGTGTTAGTTGGTGAGTTCCATACCCTTTTTTTTTAAACAGTCATAACTTTCTGGCTTTTTTTTTTTTCATTTCAGCAGCTAGATTTCTAAGAAACTTCAACTTAAAATCAAATTATAAACATTATCACCCCTGATTAACTCTGATTCCAACCGCTCAGGACTCAAAACTCCCATTAAAAAATCCTATTCCACGTGCAAAATAACCACAGGACTTCTCAAAAAGCTGTTTTTATCCTGTGTATATTTTAAAGAGCAGTTCTATTCTGAACAGTAGAAAACAACGTCTTCTCCCATGTGCTTACAATGTCACTTCTGCTCCCTTCAGTCAAGAAAATAATAACACCTTTTATTCCTACTGGCCCTGAAAAACTAACCACTCCGAAACAGCTGATGTGACTTGTTATGACCTGGGCAATCACAAATTATTTGCATATTTCTCACTGAGAGACCAAGGGGTCATGCAAATACAATTTTATTAAGATGAAGGAATAGTTGCAACTAAAGATATAATCCTTTTATGTGGTTCGTAATGGAAAAAAGGTAATGTTATCTACCTTGACTTATGAGATCACATTGAGTTTGAAGGACTAAAAGCCGAAAATATTCTTGTTTTTCTCCCAGTTAAAACTAGCACTTTCAATTTGGAACCAATTCAAAGACAATAAATGCAGAATTTTATGATGCTATTTCTACAAAACTGCTTTTCCAGACTGAAACTACACTTAGAAGTTAATTTGTCAAAACATGTCTAGAAAGTGATGAAGCACCAATGGAATCTATATAGCAGAAACTGAGGCAAGCCATATCCTTCCATAAAGCCATCCTCACTATCTCAATCCTGCACCAACACTCCTCCCTAACCAGGGCAGTTTCTGGGCTCAGTTTACCTTGGGTTGCAGTTCAGGAACAAGGAGGTTGGACCAGATGACCCACTGTGGTCCCTTCCAACCTTACCCATTCTCTGATTCTGTGATTCTGTGAATACAAACAGCAAAGTGAGAAAGATCATGTCATTAATGCCATTCCTCTGACTGTGGTCACACTGAAGGAACAAACTCTATCTATTGTCTCATATAGTTGGTATTATGACGTGTACAAGATAGACCTTGATTACATGCTTGTTTCTCTTGTTGCTTTCTTGTTTCCTAACAAGTTCTGGAGGTCATTTATAAGTACTGCTCTTATTGAAATAGTGGGCTAAATTGAAGAAAAATAAAAAACAACAGATGTAAAACCCTAGACAACAAACACTGTTATGACTGGAAAACATATTTCCCATTGTGACAGAAATAAAGGTATACATTGAATTAGATGCAGATTGAAATACTGACAGTTTGCCACAGTTATGCTCAACAAGTACTTAAACAGATATCCATCAGTGGTTCAAAATAATAATTGTGTATTTGAATAAGAAGCAGACTTGTAATGTGATTTTTGATTTACTAAAATCTAAAGGTATTTTGTTTCAATTTTATAAGAACATAACTGAAGTCACCCACATAATGAAGTGCTTAATACATTTCAAGCTTCCTTTGCTCACTTGAGACAAATTAAAGCTAAAATAAGTGCCATTTATACTTCAGTTTTCCTACTTCTAGAACTATTGAAAAAGGGAGGGGGGGGAGAAACCCTTTTTAATATTAGGATAAATGTTACTTTTGGATGGAAACACACAACAAACCTGTGTGACAAATCTTCATAGAGAAATATACAAGAAAAGAGTTTATTATTTAAGGCAGATTTCATAAGTATATTATGCACCTGATTGTATGAGTTGATTTCTGTTTTTAAAAATACATTCCATGCAATGCTAGAAATAATAATTGCTATAAATTGTTATAAAAGAGATTGCAAGTTATGGATCACCGCTTTTTTACCCTTTGTGTAGGAAGAAAAACTTAGAAATAAAACACAGTACCATACCAGTCTTCATAATCTCTTGAGAAAGACAGAAATGAATAACAGACAACAAGAGAAAGGATTGAATCCTACTTGCAGATTCCATGTTCAGGTAGGGATGTCGAGGCCCTTTTCTGGAAGCCTTCAGCTTGAGTGGAAGCAGCAGAAGACTACTCTCATGCTCCACCCACAAGAAACCATGAAGGGGAGGGCACAGCCCCCTGGCTTGATCAGTGGCCTCAAGGGGCATCCAGACCTGCAGGCAATATGCCTTTGGGAGTCATTCTCTCCCACTGAATGAGAATAAGGAAGACAGTGTAAAGCAGGAGGAAGAAAAACTTCTCTCGCACAACACAGGGTTAAAGATTCAGTTCTGGAGCTGTACTTGCTCAGTTTATGCAGCAGCTGTAAGCAGGGCGTGTGCTACGGTTCGTTCCCCTTCTGTCACGATGACTGCCTCCTCGACAGCCTCGAGCACACCACTGACACGAATGCCCTCATTCACCACTGCATCCTGGACCTGCATGACCCTACACAAGGGGTTCTCTGGCAGTTCCTGTCACCAAATTCAGAAGTCTGGAAAACAGAAGGGTCAGAAGTCTGGTCTGAAGGGTCATCATCAGACCACTCCTTTAGACACATCCTAGAGGTAATCACTTATTCTGGAATCCTACCGCATGGCTTTCTTCCCAATTTTGCTATCTCCCAAAGGAACAAGAGTTGTATAAATTTGCATTTATATACAAATCCAAACTTTAGGCAGTTGCTACAAGTTCCTCTAGTAATATTATTTACACATACACTCAGGATTGGAAGGGAAAATTAAGCATAAAAGGCCTCCAGTGCTTGTTGTAGGAACAGATTTCTGTAGGCAAATGTTCATGGCTTACGTTTAGATTCCCTGAACCATAGATTTAAAGAGTGACATGAATAAAGTAAAATGTTCTTATTGAATAGTCCACAGCTCTGTAGGAAAATGAATGACAATACTGAATATTTACTTTGCATATTTTTTCAAATGATCACCCTAGCTGATATTTCATAATTTTACCTATTGAAACCTTGGTTGTTTCATGCATTTCAGTGAGATCAGAGAAGGGTTAGAATCTCCTAGTAAAAGTATATGAAGGTTTTATAAATTTTAGCTTGAAGCTAAAGGCACTGGTTTTGTTAGTTTTAAGAAGATTTCTTATGTCCTTGAATCAGATTATTCTTGCTGTATTTAAAAGGAGGGTTTATCAACACCTGGCAGACGGTGGGGCTGTGAAAATTGCCTGCCCCATCTGCCTTTTGTGCAATCAAGTTGTAGGTCCGTTACTTTCTAGAGGAATATCCCACCTACCCAATCACTATAAAAAGGTTGGAAGCACCAGCAAAAATCATGCTCTTTGTAAATGCTGGGAGGCTGCAGTAGCCTGACTCAGCCTGCTTCAGAGATGGGCTTCCATGGGGGACACTGGGTCATTCTCCTGAAGAGGCACTTCAGAAATAGTTGTCTAATATTAGTTACGAGGAAATTGTCAGAGGAAGAGGTGAAGTATCTATTGAATACAGGCATTACAGGGTTCAACATTTTTTATACAGTATCTTTCTGAGACACAGGAGGTTTCTAAGTGGACAGGTTCCCAATACTTCTGAACTTTCACTTTGAAATAACAATATTATAAAAACAAAGTATTCGATATCTTAACAAATAACATGTATTTAAAATGTTAATTTTCATATTCAGCAAAGAACTAAGTGTACTTCTTCCACAAGATACAGTTGTGCAGAATTTGCAATGTATTTTCCTTTAATAGATTCTGGAAGAAAAATACCCATACAGCATAAAGAGCCAAACTATCACTCAGTAAGTGAAAAAAGCAAAAAGCACTTGATAAAAATAACTAGTTCCATAACCATTATGTTTGCTTTGGGCTTTTGCTGGCATGTACTAATTCAGCTAGCTTACAGCAAAGACTTTTATTCAGGGAGGTCACTTGTAATAGCCTTACTCCTCCCTCTTCAAATACTTATTTTCAGAAACTTGCTAAAAATTACTTTGTATTTCACTATCAAATGTATTTGGAATCAGTGAAGATACTGACAAAAAATTTGTACAGGAAGTTGGCCATATATAGCACACTCAGAAATTTTTATGTCCATTAGAAAGAAGGCCAGCAAAAAAAAAATTAGAGGCGATACATTATGCAAAGTTCTTATTTTCTCAGCTGTCTATATTAAATCTAACTTTCAGATTAATTTAATAATTTTTATAGCAGTCTACCTTCAAAGTTCTTCCTTTAGAAAAGGGCAGCAGAAAATTTATGGAAAATAAAGATATGCTGAGTTCGGTTTTCTTATATAGCAGAGGAATTATTAGTCTTCTGTAACATAAATTACAACCAGACTGAATGTTTAATTAAAAAAAAAATGCAAATGGAAAAGCATTCATATGACTGTACTCCAGAGATCTTTTGATACAGAATCTAAATGAAAAAGAAAATTCAATAAAGATTATAATCTTTGACCTGTTTTCATCAAATATTTCATTTTTATTACAGCTTTGTTATGCTCTCTGAGTTTGTTTGGCAATACACAGAACACACATTAACCACATGGAAACTTTCATCTTTTTGATGAAATAAACATATTTTCTTTGCTTCTCTTTCTTGCATCACTGACAACAGGCTTTTGTGTCCAACTGTGATAATGTCCTGTGTTCAGAACATACACGTCACTATATGAATCTAACAACAGGCAATTGACATCTTGATGGCTTTCTTGTCCTCCATAAACAAACACATGCATAGGCAGCCCATGCTTAATTGGACAGAAAAACTTGTTCTGATGAGCAGGACTTTCATACACCTGTTACGTTTAATACATATGTTATATACCTACCATCTGCTAAAAAGACTCTTTTTTTCTCTCCTTGTGCTTTAAAAAAGACACATGAGTAAAGCATTAAAAAACTCAAACACTTCAGATGTAAAGAAACACATGTTGATGACTGTCCATCAAGACCTGGGGTTTCAGCATAAAAACCACATTAGAGCGTAATGAGATCTAAATCAATAGATTGTTCTATTTCCTGGCTGCTCTCATTACTCCCACAATACCACAGTGAATTCACATGATTTTATTTGTAGTGGCCTAACACTACTGTGACAAAATACTAATTACTTTAAAATATTGTGATTTAATATTCATTGGGAACTGCTGTTGAAATTAACATTTGTTTTAAAGAAGTCTTTGTCCTTGTACCTTTTTGATCTCTTGATTGATATGCAATCATCCCTTAATTGTGGGTAATTTTGTGATCTATTGTCTGTATTTAAAATATTCCTTTTATATTCATCGAACTACCTTGATTAAATAACCCAAAATAAAAATAAAAATTAGAAAACTTCTAAATCTAATTATTATAGAATGTCTTTATGGAGTGTAACTTGTGTCTGCAAATGGATCCATTGTGTACAAGTCCTTTTTTAGCTATTTCATTTCTTTGTTTGAGTAGATCTAAATGAATTATTATACTGTCTTGGTTTTTTTTCTGAAAAACTTTGTACTTTATCTAGGGAGTATTTTGAGATGTTTTCCTTCCTTGCTGATCAGTGGATGCAGTCATGGATATTTACTCTGCTTTTCTATAGCCATGTGACTGTATAGGATTTTCTTTGAGTCAGGTTTGGAATCTAGAAATGTTTTGGGTAGCAGATCACAACAGACTTTCTTTTGGTGAGATAGGGAGATTTCCAGTTTCCATCCAAAACATGGGCAACAGGCCTCATGACATCATTATTCCTCCCAAAGACTCAATTTATTGTTCATTGGTGTTTTGTTTGTCTCCTGATTTATACTGTAGTCAGGAGATTGCCTGAAGGAAGCCTAAATGGAAAAATTAAGAAAGCTGGTTTGAATCAATGTTTTGTTTATATACATATCAAGATACACCAAAATTATGATGATTTCTGAACCCTAATATTGTTATCAATTGAGGTTTCAACTGACTCTGCTAATCTATGGAGTTATGAAAATTATTATGAAACCAAATTAATTTAGAAAAATATGTGCAAAATGGTTTTGTTCTAAAAT